AAACAATGAACTTCGCAAATCCTTAACAAAATTTAAACTTGGCAACCACTGTCTGAAAATTGAAACAGGCCGGCATATAGGATTGGATTTTAAAGACAGAGTCTGCAATATCTGCGACAATGACCATGTTGAAGATGAACAACATTTTGTCATAAATTGTCCTCATTACAACGAAATAAGATCAAAACTTTACATTGTAGCTAATAAATGTATACCAAATTTTGCCAAATTTAGTAATGAAAATAAATTCATATCATTACTAAGTAACGAGAAAATGTCAATTCCTTTAGCACAATATTTAAAAAACTGTTTTAATACAAGACAGCAGCACCTACATAAACTAAGCCAGTAACACATTCCTTGTATTCAAATTTATCTTTTTTTTTTTTTTAATGCTTTTTTGTTCCCTTACTTTTTATGTAGTTATTTTTCTTTTACTAATATTTGATTTGTAACCCTTTTCATCCCCTCCGGGGGATGTTGTGTGTTAATAAATAAATAAATAAAAGTCTTATTTATTATTTACTATTTTAAGCAAGACACTTCGCGATTTGTTCAGCGTCACAATTCTATAGACCTTTATAACTGGATTCGCAATTCCTACCACTAATTAGATAATTTTAATGTGTGTATATATTTTAGTACATGCATGTACACTCACAAAAAATACCCATCAAATACAAGTAAGAGAATTTATTATATAACCTGGGCAGAATAAATCATTATTTTTTCTTGCCATAATCATGCTGTTTCTATTCCTGTAACTTGAAAGAATCCTTATAAATATGATTTTTAGTTGTGTGGCACAACTGGTTGATTTTTCAATATTAAAGGTTGTCCTTGCGAATTGCTGGATTTGTTATTTTCCGGAGACATTTTTTGTATTTACATTTGCATGTATACTATGGGGTCCATATACCGTATTACAGATTATTTTGTTGATTGTTGTCAGTCGTTGATGTAACCAGTGTTTCCATTTATTTACTTTGACAATTTCAATATCACTATCCTGACAAGTAAAATGCTCACATCATTTTGTAAAGTTCTTGAGTGTGCATTTTTATGCACAGTGACAGGAACATTGCTACAATCAAACAGTACTTATATATAGCACATTGCATAGTAATTGTTCATTATATAAAGATCAGTTTGAACATGAAACGACATCACCAAGTGTCACTACATCCACAGGCTGAAAGTCCAAATAAGTTATTCATTTGATCTATTATTATTTTTTCACGGTTGTCATCGCTACACAGTTGATTACAATTTTGTTTATAATGCACGATACTGATATAATTATTTTAATTTAATTAATTTCATCCCTTAACTGTGCATGAGAATGTACCAATAGTAGAGGTATTCAGGAAGTAAAATTCACACTACCGGGGTAATTTTTTTTACAGAAGAATTATTCCAAACCATATCAAACTATACATTTCATGAAAGCTTATAATTCACACCAATCAAAAATCAACATTAAGTTAGATGTCATCCATCATGTGGTCATGTGACTGCTAATAAATCGTTTTATTGAAGATTCAATGAGTACTGTGAACAAATTAAAATGGATACCACAATTTTATTTTGAAAAATGTAGAATAAGATAGTAGGAAACAAAACAGTCACAGTGATTTTGCATAACTTTTTAATTAATACTACTTTTGCATTTTCTCCAGACCTTGTTCATTTTTACATTCAGACAGTTAATTCTTTAGAATGTGGAAACTAACAAACATCGCTAACCAGGTTTTGTTCATATATACCACATCTACAATCTCTGAAAAAAAAGAAAAGTTCAGATGAGTGACGAGTACTCATTTGATTGATCATTTTGATGTCAGAATTAAAACACTAATTTGCATATCAATAGATGATTAGTGGAGTTGCTACATTTATTTTTTAAATGAAATCTTTTGTGAACATTGTTTTGAGATCAAGTAAAATGTAGATGAATGGTACAGTAATCACTAAAGATGTTCTAAAATTATATTATACTTGACTGTGTGATTTATTTATTATTCAAAATATCCCCCTGTAGATGCAAATTTAGTCATCATAACAATGCAGATTGTTAATTTTGTTCTCTGTTTCAAGAATTTTCCAATTATGATAAAACTTCGGAATATTCATAGAATAATAAGATGTTCCTGTGGATTCTATAAAGTATATAAAGTTTATTTTGATAATGTGCAAAAAAAAACTACTACTTAAAGGCCCAATTCACTTGTCCCGGGCAAGAGTGAATTGGAGGTGTGGCTATGCTAATGAGTGTTGTTAATCACTTGTATAGCCTATGACTCATCCTGTTTCAGCGGTCTAACATCACGTGACTTGATTGACAGTAGTTAATTAGTCAAGATTAGTAGCGCGTCCCTTTCCTCGGTTCATGTTTTTTACTTTTATCTGCCAAAATCTCAGCTCGTACACTATTTATTGTCATAAATACTACAAACAGTCACTGCTGTGATATTCATAGTTACATACATCCACTTTGACACGACATAATCGACCTGTAAGTTCGAGAAAACACGTTTTTACTGGAGCTTGGCTGGAGCTGTTTACTACAGCGTGACAAGCAAGGAAATAATCCCTATTGTTTAGGTGCGTATTTATAGTATACCTGGGCCTTTAATGTGACCCTGCATACCGGAATCAAGACTCACAATGTCTCTGGGATCAAGGTCTATACAACTGGCGTACAAATTATTAGAATTATTATTTATGAATGTTAAATAATAAATAACATGTTTTCTGTGTTTTGCAGGTTGCTGAACTTGATAATTATCAATATGAGTACAGGCGCTATGGCAAATCTAAGCGATGAAGCGTCTAACAACTTTACTGCAGAATACACAGCAGACCTGAGGGCTTCTATGTGGAAGAGTGTAAAAGAAGATAGAGAAAGATTGTTGTTTGAAATGGGGGAGTATAATGGGTAGGATAACGTTTACATGCAGTTTATGTAACATAGATTTCTCTATTCAGGATGAGTTATAATCTGTGTGAACAATTGTGTAATAGACCATTTGTTTTCCATCCACTGCGAGATCCAGCATTATGCGTGAAATCAAACGTAAAAACATGACAACCAAAGGTCATAGTACATTGCATTTGATTTAACAAACGTGAAAGTATTTGAGGGTATTTCCATGCTTAAGAATGTACACATTCGATGATGGTCAATTTTGTTGATTCAGAAGTAAATGTGTCTGAATACAAAATTTCCCCCCTCTCAAAGATCGCCCTTTCAACATTGAGCTTTAAAGAAGGAAATTCAAAATTAAATAAATTTTTTGGATAAGATGTTCGGTCCGCGCCCATAATGTGATATGCGAGATCTCACAGAGAACGGAAAATTACCTGTTATGCCGTAGTTGTTGAATTATTTCTTTGAGAGAATAATATAGTGGTAACATTTTCCTGAGACAATATACATGGTAAAGAGTTTGAGTTAAATGTCTCCATGCTTATGCATGTAGAGTTGATAATCACTTCAGATTTGAAGATCAGTAGTTTCCATTTTAAATACATAATGTATTGAATCAGATGTTTTCATGGTTACACACAAGTGTATACTAATGGTCAGAACAAGTTTGACTGATATGAAATATGAAATGGCAGATATTTTAATACAATTTTCCTCATTTCAGTTCCAATATCAATGGTTCTGGTGATGGCAGTCTTGATGACTTTGATCTTGATACATTAAGAACAAGACGCACTGCAAGGCAGAAAGTTATTAACCTCACAGCTGATCATTCACCAACTTCAGACAGCGGAGTTGATACAGCCGAAAGTAGAAAAAGAAATGATGCGATTCAAGGAAATAATGTTTTGACTGATTTCCATGGAAATCTGAGGTTACCAGATAAGGAGGTGGTTGCGAAGGACACTCCAAGGACTAAACAACTAAAAGATTTGAGGTCAAAGAGATTAGCATATTTTGAAAAAAATAATTCAAGTAAACCACCACAGGAAGGAGAAAAGGAGAAAAAAACACCAAGAAAGAAAACACCCCGATCTGGTTTCTCGGTTAAAAACAACAGTTTGGGACAGAATAAGAAGATTGAAACTGAAGTAAAACAACAGTGTAAAAATATTTTACATCAGCCTTATAACAATTCATTGGAAAAAAATATGACTCCAGATAAGTTGAAAAGAAGCAATGAAGTAACAATTGATAATGAAAGATCAAAAACTTACTTAAGTTTTGAAAAAGGTGCTGACCAACTGAGTGAAAAGGCCAAAGCTGACTTTGGGGTGGTTGGCACAAATGAGAGGACAAAAACAGATGAAAATGATGGGTCAGAGTATGAGGCTTTGTTTGAGCATAGTGTAGATCCGGTGATTGACTTGAGAAGCTTACAGATTGCTTTGAAAAATGGTGATGAAGGACTGAGAAAATACCTGCAGGAAGTTGGAAGAAAGAATTATCAAGACGTTGAAAAATCAAGTCCAGACACAAATGGTACTGTAAATGGGGCACATAATGCCTTACTCAAGTCTCCTAAAGTGAATTCACCTAGAACATTAGGTGAGATACCACTACATTCCAGATTTGATCAACGCAAGAGTACACATGTTCCTTCCTCCTTTGCAAGCCCTGCTACAGATGAACGTAACCTTGACTGTAACTTTAATCTCAAAACATTAGAAAAACACAGCCCGTCAGAAATAAATTCCCACCAGGTAGGAATTGATCCAGCCAAGCAAACCACAAAAGTTTCCAAACCTACTGTGACTTCTTCTCAGTTGGAAAGCTATGGCTTGTTCAGTGACTTGTTCTCACCACCAGATGATGCGACACTCAAGTTAAACAATGACTATGAAAATGCTAACTTTGAACAAAATATTCACCTTGCAGAGAATGGAAATAGTGCTGAACATTCAAAATTCCATGCACTGACAGCGGACAAGGACATAAATTTACAAGCAAGTTATAAGAAATCAAGCAAGAGCAGTCATAATAAAAAAGTTGGTCAGGTTCAGATAAGTAATGAATTTGACTTGGATGGTGATGATGAAGATTACAGTGATATTGAACTAACAACTCATGTTGCAGACTTCCGCCCGGTGTCACCTCTGAAAGAAGTTAAAATCAATGCCCCACTAGCAGTGAAAGAATCTTCTTTTTCAAATTATGCTTCTGGTATGGAAAGTTTAATTGATGTGGAAGATGAAATAAAAGCTCCCCCCAAACCAGCAGGTGTGCCTTCGTTGGAACTTGACCCCTCCACGTCATCCGAAGACAGTGATCACGTTGAGCTCATAGAATTTTCAAAAGGTAGAAAAAAGAAGAAATCACATGGAAAGAAGCAGCTGAAAAATGACTTTGACACTTTTGAATTAGCTAATAGTCTGTCAGATTTCACAGAAGTGTCTGTGTTGCCTAGAAAGGTGAACAAGACAAAGCAGCGAGTCATTGACAGCGAGTTATGGCTCTCATTAGACAGCAATATGTCAGAAGAAAGTGGAATTGGAAAATATACACATATTGACAAAAGTGTTTTACCTAAAGGACCAAAAACTAAACCAGAAAGTGCCACAAAGAAAGAATTTGTTGAAGATGCCAATATGGAAGAATTAGTGTTAAGCACTCATAGACCTTCGTCATCAGAAAAGACAAACCTCACGAGACCTCTAGATGTGCCAAATCGGCTACCCCACCGTGATCCGATGAACAAGATGTATGATGACTGGCTCCAAGATAACACTGCCACAGAGTATTTTAATATATTTCTTCAAGGCAATTCTAAAAATGATGATCTGAATACGTCTGTTCCAACTAAATCATATCATTTACAGGAGTCAGATGTACAAGTAAGGCAGCCCACTTCCAGGACTGGTGTCTCTGTTGAAGACTTTCTTACTGGAATTCAACTTCAAAAATCTACTTCGTCTAAAGGTCTGAAAGCAGGTGCTTCTGTTATTCAATCAACAGATGAGAAGAAACCTTTTGAACGAGGTGACATGATAACGAAAGCTGCCAGCAAGATTAAAGAACCCACCAAACTGCAGTCTAGTCAAAGCAAAGTGGAAACATACAAGTCTCTTGAGAAACATTTTTCAGATGTTGAAAAAAAGCTTGCTGAGCTCGGACTTGAACACTTGATCAAAGGAAGTAATAACACTACTGGTGCCGAGACCAGTAAGTCAGCAAATATTGAAACTGTTAAAATATGTCCTGAGTGTGATGCTGTGAACAGAGAGCATATCACTTGGTGTCTAGAATGTGGATGTGTACTCATAGGTATAGAGCCAGAACCTCATCCAGATATCGTGAAGGCTATATCTCGTAACTATGCCACTGAATTACAAACACCACCTTTACAGAAAGACTCTCCACAACTCATAGCCTCTAATTCAAATGAAGATGTGAGGGACACTCCTAATTCAGTGCAGAGGGATATGCCTGACATGAAGACTAATCTACCTGCTTCACCTGCTTTTATATCAGCTGAACCGGTTTCTGCTACAGAATCCTCACCTACGTTTAACACAGTAAATGCAAAGCAAGTAAGCAAAAGTACACATAATTTAACTGCTTATGAGAAGTACCTTCTTCATGTAAGCAATCAACAAGAAGAGAAGCATCTTGAAATGGCTCAAGGAACAACCGGCCATCCAACGTATGATGCGCAGAATCGTGTTGGAGTTGTAAGTAAGATCCACCCTGCAACTGCAGGGAGCGAATCTGTCAAGGAAGCTGACTCTCATTTCCCACGTGTAAGCAATGGTGTCAAAAGTGATATTCCAGTGAATGAAGTACATCCACTGTTTGAAAAATTATTACATGATCCCAGAGTTCAACCCAAGCAATCAGATGATAAAAAACCAAGACCAAGCAGTGCTGGACCACAGAAATCAGTCCGGGAAATAGTACAGCCAAGACCTTCATCTTCTGGCACTACCCAAAGCAAAACAAGACAGTACATAGAGCAAGACCAATATAAGAGACATTGGAGTAGATCCAGCACCGCTTGGGATTCATACAATAAAAATGAGCTCTGCACATGGTCTAGTATGGATACTGCAAGAAAAATAACCCCTAAACCGAAGCCCACCAGTGCTAAAAGGTTCACATCTGTGTCCGGCAAAGTAGGAGTAGCACAAAAGCCCAAATCTACTGAGATTGGAGACAGCAAAGTACAAAGTTCTAGACCCAAATCTGCTAGTACCAGGAGAAGAACTGATGATACAAGTGGCAATCAGTCATCTAGGCCAAACACAAGCAGTGGCTACAGAAGTGTAGGAGATCAAAGAGAGCAGTTACTTCAAGTAAATGCTGCTCCATTGTCAGGTAAACATGTGATTCTTCTGTTGACACTCCAGTATTCCAGTATTATCCATTTATTTTAAAGCATTCATAGATTTGTTTTCATAGAATCTTTTACTGGGGACATATTTTATGGTCAGAATTTGTATGCAAAAAACAATGATTTCTCAGGATTCCAATTAATACAGCCCTCATAATTCAGACAAAAAATGTAATCCATACTCGTTGGAACAAGGTAAATCGAACACACAAACAGGT